ATAAATCCTCAAGATTTTGAGACGTGATATTTTGATCAACATTCTAGAACATGTCAAAATTGAACAAAAAAAAAATCAAGAAATAACAATGCGATGGAGAAATGTGTGTGATTCTGAGACTAACAAAAACATTCACAACATACAACATTTTTCGAATTCCGGCATTTTCTAAAATATTGGTGATAGACAACATTACAAAATCAAATGTGAGAAACTTTGGTATCTATGGTATCTAACAGTTTAGTTTCAGAGTCCTTAGCGTCTAGGGCAATCTGGGACATTATAATTGTCCATGAAATCATTACTAATTAGAAATAAATGCAATACTTTAGCTTGACTTTAGAATTTAAGAAGAGAAGAAATATTGTGAATATACTTTCCCTTCTGTTTAGAAACTTGCAAAAAGCAGATACAATATCATATCAATAGATGTAATTTTGTTCGCAAAATCGATGTACATCGTACAACGTAATATTACACAACCGGCGGAATGATCTCTGTGCAGCTGTTTGGATGTAATATTCAACAACTTTTTTTTTCTGTGTAGGCAACTCCACCTGGACCCTCATATTCCTTTCCAAAGCAAGATGTGACCAGAGAGATTTTTCACCTCAGAAGATCCCAACGATCTCGGCTGGGCTTGAACCCAGACCCAATAGGATGAGAATGCAGTCACCATAGGCGTAACTAGAAAATTTTACGCGAGGGGGCCTAGGGGGGCAAAGCTGTAGCTTTATTTTTGTTTTGTCAAACTACGGATAAATAGAAACTCTGGAACTGCTACTCAACACTACACACTACACACCAAATTTGAGATTTAGATTTCAGTAAAACAGATTGTTGGATCATGATCAGCAAAGCAATGCTTTACTGAAAGACAGCAAACGATATTTTTTACCGAAAAATACAGCTGGCATAAACGGTTTACTGGACATCCAGTAATCTGTCAAACTGTTAGCGTCACAGTCGCAAGTACATACGCACCACCGTCTACATCGGAGGAGGAGGAGGAGGAGGAGGAGGAGGAGGAGGAGGAGGAGGAGGAGGAGGAGGAGGAAATAATTAAAATAATGTTGGTAAATACACTTATTATATCTAATAAAATATATATGGTAAAGAGCCTGGTGATCTTGTTGTTAATTCTATATTATTTGTGTATTTGTATCAACAATCTTCTTCAGAAGCTGCATGCTCCTAGTATAAAAAAAAAACGATTTACTGAGTCTATTCAGCAAATTGCTGCTAAATAACAGAATTTGGGACTGTCATTTTGTCATTTTGACAGAAGTTGGAATTGCTGGAAGATACATCCCAACAAACAATTGAGAGCTCTTATAAAACACCTGAGTTGATCAAACGTTGAATAATAGCTTCCAGAGTTGAACAAGAATGTAGTTGTATTGCCATTTGATTAAAATCTTTAGCTGTTGGAGCACTCTTAAATGATTGTTTACGTTCGGTTTAACTATATGCTTTATAAGACCTACGATAACTTTTATAGCACCTTAGTTAAACTGATTCACAAGAGCTATACAGACCGTGGAATAAACGCATCAATGGTGAATTATGGCATAATTACATATTTTTTCAATGTGCACAAAAATTAATTAAATTAATAAAAACTGTACAAGCAATTATTTTGGCGTACCACGACAATTGTTAAACTAATTTTAACCTGTGAATATTGTGAGTACTTACACAACGGTTATTAAGGAGTCATTAAAAAGGGCTATAAACGCTTTTCACCGCTTGCTGTATAGTGATTATTTAGGAGTCATAAAAGAGTGTAACAAACGCCTTTCAGGTTCAATCTCTAATACATTTCGAAGCAGCTGTTAGGAGGTGTCTACAAACGTTGTATTAGAGCTATCACCAAAACAATAAAGCTTGAGTTTAAATATGTATCTATAAACGTTGTATAAAAGTTGCTTCTATCCGGTTATTAAGGAGTCATTGAAAAGTGTTATAAATGCTTTTCACCGCTTGCTGTTCAATTAATATTTAGGAGTCATAAAAGAGTGTAGCAAACGCCTCTCAGGTTTCCTCTTTACTAAATTTCAAAGCAGCTGTCAGGAAATGTCTACAAACGTTGTATAAGAGCTTTCACCAAAACAATAAAGCTTGACTTTAAATATGTATCTATAACCGTTGTATAAATGTTGCTTCTACTCCTATACCGCGTATACATATAATGCTGTAGTTGAACAGGTTCTCCAAACCAGTGTAAACAAGAGTTTTACAGATCAAGAGCACATTGCTCTCCAAACCTTGTGTTCACAATCCCTACCCTGCCATCCATTTGTTACAATTTGTTACCCCTAACCTCGAGATAGCCGCGAGTAATCGGCCCCCGCTTTACTAACGTTAGTTTTAAGTAATTTTGTTATCTAAACAATGAATATCGGCTCCGCAAAGCTACAGCAAATGAGCCTAGAAAAATAAACGAATTATTAAAAAAAAAAAGAGTTTTACAGAAGTTGTAATAAACAAATTGTACAGTTATTATTCAGCATGCAGTTGAATAAAATCACAATGGAAGCGTTTCTTCAACAAGAAATTGATTTTGGGTAAACGTTTTACTGAATACGTTAGACAACACCTTTGTGTTGCAGTTGTATAGGTTCTCCAAACCAGTGTAAACAAGGGTTTTATAAAAGTAGTGGTGAACACATTGTGCAATTATTATTCAACATGCAGCTGAACAAAATCAAAACGAAAGCATTTCTTCAACTGGAAATTGTTACTTGGGTTGTTTTGTTAGGGTGACCTTCTTTCCCCTAGTCGAATTTCACGCCAATTCGTCAATGGACTATGGACCTGACAAAATTTGCAGCGAATAAGGGAAAGCGCTGACAAATTTCATAAACCAAATTTTTGGAAATAATGACTCCTTTCGACGAGAAAGAGGTAACTAATAATAATATTGAAAATCCCAACAATTTATTCACATAAACAGAATGCGACTGAAATTTTGAACTACTGTCAAAAATTTCCATCGCATGAAAAGCCCAGCAAAAATGAATGAAATCTATCAAAATTGACTATGCTTATCCTTTTCGGTAATTCTGGCAACTGAAACAAGCTGGGATGAAAGCGTACAAAGTGAAGAAATCATTGGAGAAATGCCTTTAATGTATTCAGAGACGACAGGAATTTTCATGCGTCTCAGAAGAAGTCAGGTGGTGGAGTCCTTATGGCTCTTTCGGCCAATTTTAACTCAGAAATCATCTATGCATCGAAATTTAAATTTAAAGATTTTGAGCATGTTTGGGTGAAATATCACACATAGCCGGTGAAACGCACGTGTTTGCCTCAGTTTATTTTCCACCAGACCATGCTCATAAAACACTTATGACGCCTTTTTCCAAATTGCTGAACAAATTCTATCTGAGCTTCCTTTTGATGAATGCTGACTTTATTCTGGGCTCTGACAATCAAAGTATTTTACTCCCAGTTGTTGGGGATACTAAAACATTGCAGTTCATTTTTAACAAAACTGCTAATTTAGGACTGAACTAAATTAATCACTTTAAAAATCAGCAAAATGGATATTTAGACTTTTTACTAACGAATATATCTGTTTGTGACCAAATCATTAAATCCATTGTAGAAAAAATTCAGCGTTTCTCACCGCAACCCACACCTGGACCCTACCTATCGACCCATCAAACTCATGAACCGGGGACCAACGGCTTTACTACCCTGCCGAAGGAAGGCGTGAACAGAGATTTTATGCCTCAGAAAATCCCAGCGGTGCCGACTGGAATTGAACCCAGGCCTGCTGGGGTGAGAGGCAATCACGCTTACCACTACACCACCGGCGCCGTTAAATAAATCTTAATTTGTATCTTCTACTGCAGGTTTACATCAACCATGAGCTCCCAAAAACGCCGAAAGTGGTAGCGAAAGTGATTTGTAAATGCTATGTATTAATTTAAATTTAATCAAATATTTTCAATTTAACTTTGGTTACCATATATAGTAAAACTTTTCGGCACTGGATGCTGAAAATTGTTACTTTTCTACACTGTTTTTTAATTATGAAATTAAATTATGTTATTGAAAACAGTGTCGAAATCTGACACTTTTCAGCAATGAGTGCTAAAAGAACATTTCAAGTTATATGTAGACCCTGGAGCTAAAATCTGGAGCACTAGTGTCAAAACAGGCACACTTTCCCTTTTAACAAGTAATGGAATCGTGGATTAACAATGCATCAGCGTTATATTGCTTTCTTTTGCATCTGCTGATTATTCATTCAATTGTAGCAATTCTGATGTTGTATAACGAAGTATCTATTATTTTCGACATTCATTCTTTATTGCTATCAACTTAGTGTACCTAATTGCATTCAACCTAAAACTCAGCCCATCATCAAAACAACAACAAAAAGTTCTCGCCCAATTTAAAAACTTCGCTAAGCCCTAGAGCATATAATATAATTGAAGGCTTTGAAAACCTCAATGCAAACTGAGTTTCTCGTACCAACTGTACTGAAATTGCACAAAGTATATTTGAAAAGCATGAGCTTAAGATTGGAGCCTATAGTCAGTAAAGGCGGGTTCAATTCCCAATTCGCTGGAGACACTTTTTATCAACTTTCCTGGGCATAGAGTATCATTGTGCTTACCACACAGCATACACATTCATACATTTTTAACGTCCATTACCCCCCAAACAATCATGGGTCACTTCTGTCAGAATAAGAAACTTTTTTTTAGATAACACACGCTTTCAATTTGGGTTAGATTTTTTCCTAGATGGTACCCTCTCTGTCTGTAACCTATCAAAACCATGATAATTGTTTGATAATTTTCAGTTAGATCGATGGTTGTGATCAACTTTCCTATTCTCCTATTATATCAATCTGGAATTTTTGTTTAGATCTTGTTTTGATTGGAAATTCATTAAATCGATTAATCTTTGGACAAGTAGTGATGTTTTCACCACTAAGCGATCTATGATTACGGAGGGAATGTACCTAAATAATCCTCACTCACCATTAGAATCCAACTCATCATCGAACCCGTCTTCTATTAAATCCAAATTGGGTGATTTGCTCCGTTTCCGCTTTGGCATGTTCACTTTTCCTTAGCAAATAGTGCTTATATTTTTCTTCCACAAATGTCACCACTTCCTTAAAGCAGCGTCAATCACACAACAATCACTCCGGACAAGATCAATCACCGGGCGGACACGGACACGGTCAAGCGACGGTTACGCGAGTGCACCGCACTGTACGATCGGGACTGCAGTAGCAATGAAGTAGTACACGGCTCGGTTAATACTGAAAGAAAAGCATTTTTCCTCGGAACGTTTTCCCCCGCGGGACTGTGCATCATTGTAAGGCAAGAAAATGATACGTCCTAGCTGGCGTTTTGTTTAGTCAACGTTCCTCGCTCACTGCGGGAAATAATTTCTCTCTCACGATATGTTCAGAACCAATACGAGCTTGTAACGCTTGTCTCGAGTGGGTGGAGCAATGCCACTATGCGTTTTGAATGCTCGCTTTGGCCAATCAGAGACTAGCATTTTCTGTTAACTGTTTGAATGGTGATATGGGAAGCTTTAGGTTGAATTCACTGTGAAGCATTCTTTGAAAATTATTAGAGTGGGATTTATTAGCATAGAACAATGCACCATCGTATATCCAGAGTGATTCGAGCTTTGGGTGCAACTGTTTTTGTAAAAAACGACTTCTTCATTCGTCTCAATCTCGCAAGCTAACACCACAATCCGGTATGGGAGTAATTCCTCTAGCAGTTGGTATTAGCGGTGATACAAGCCATTGCTTACAAAAGCAGGTACGACCAAATCTAGAATTAACCCGAACATGTGTTGTAGCTGGGAACCACCAGTTGCAAGGTGATTCCCTTCTAAGACATGTTTTTACTCAAACTTTTAATGCATTACTCTGCTACTGAGTTTTCTAGAAATACATACTTATAGAAAACTAGGTTTTCTTTAAGTAGTTCCAGTTCCAGGCAAAATAGCGAAAAAAGTTTGAATTTTTGAATCCACCTTCTCAGATGTGTATGCAATTTTACATAATTGTTTGTTATGGACAATGATTCACATTTTTGCTAAAATTCGGCCATTTTTGATCTAGTAAAATTCTAAAAATCGCGTTCTTATTTTTTTTATTGTAGAAGCATTATATTTCACCACGTTCCTAGAACAATTAGTGTTTTTAGAATAGTGAACAATTATTCATCCAATATAATTCAACTTGAAGACGCATTCAATAAATATACTTGCAAAAAATGAAAACGGTTATAATTCGTTAATCATATTCTGTAACAATGATTTCTCAATCGTACTCCTTTTTTTATTCTAAAAATGTGGTACTTCAGTATATTCTGAAAATACAAAAAAAAATCAATTAAATTTATGACTAGTAAGCGTGAAAATATTGTAGCACATAAACACAAGATATTTTCAGTGGTTTCAATTATCAAAATCATATATTTTGAAAGATTTTTGATAAATTAAATGGTGGCGAATTATATTACAGGAAATAACACGATTTTAATTATCGCTACTGGCGAAATTTGCTTCGTAGTTTTGAACAGTAACCCGGTTTAACTTTCGCCATCTGCAGGTCACGCTATACATAAACAAGGTAGTAGAGTAGGTACCCGAAAAAAATTATAATAAAACAACGAATTTACAATGATTTTTACTGTTGAATTTCGAGACCATTAAAATTCAATGTTAGATTATTGTACGGAAGAAAAAATAAATTTCGATTTCTAACGATGCAATGCTCAAACAATGAAAATTAGTGTGATGAGATCAAATTTGTTCGAGAAAAATCACTTTTTTTATTGTTAAGATTAATTAAAAATCCGTGCGTAAATCTCTAGACCAAATTTTCTGGCTATTTTCATCTGAGATCTTGAATGTTTTCCAAGCCTAAAATGTTAAAACATAGTCTATCAAAATTTTCAAACTATCGACATTTTTTAAAAGGCCAGCAATTTGAAAAATCTTAGACTCCCGGTAGCTTTAGCATTTGTCCAAACACCGAGAAAAAAATCATGTCACAGAACCTTGAGTTTCTTTTTAAGTCCATTAAATTTTACAGTATTTTTCCGTACTAATAATCCGGTAATACGGAAACAAATATCCAGGTCAAGGTTTTAGAAAAAAAAAATATATGTCCATGATCATACAATATTTTCTATGTCTCAGGAGCATTTAAATTGTTCAAAGACTGTGGACTTACATTATAAATATTCAAAATATAGAAAACTATTTCAGGCCGCAAAATTTTCTCAATTTTTTTGTCTTAGAGATCTCGAATTTTTAAGTCCCAGCATTAAAAAAAATGATCCAAAACACTAAAACGTATCCCTAAATCCCTAATTTTCCACGATCGAGATTTTATAAATGACATTTCTGATCGAATGGCGGATGAGAAAAAGTTGTAGAAAAATATAATGTCTTTCTAGGAAAAATAAACAAAAGAATTAATTTAGTTTAAGTAAAAAATAAAAAAAGCTGACAAAAACCCAAATATCTTGAAGTGTACTTGCCAAATTTTGGAATTTTTTTTCAAGAAGTTTCATAAAAAATGCGCAGTTTTGGAAATTTCTAAACCATGGACACTTGAAAACTGACAAAAACCGTACAATAAGAACTTTTGGTAAAATTTTTGTACTTTTTGTAAGTACGTTTTTTTGTGCATTTTTTTCAAAGAAAAATATTTAAAATGTCTCAAATATTATTTTCTGAGTATAAATTACATAAAAAAAACGTTTTAATTAATTTCTTGTTCTATGATTTTTATTAATTTTTAAGTGTCCATGCTTAAAATCATTCCAAAAGTTTTCATTTTTCATGAGTATTATTTTTAAATAAAAATTTAAAAAAATCGAACAAGGGCATTCTTAGATATTTAGGTTTTAACAAGAGGTAAGTCACTCACCACATTGTTCCGAAATAAGATTCGGCACAGCTTGGGTACATCCATCGGCACACCTTCGACACAATCTCGTAGGCATTGGATTGTTGTAAATAAAATGGAAGCTCTGCTGGACAACTGTCATTGAAGTTGTTCACAGCATTACGTGCTGTTTTATAGTATAATCAGGAGCATCCTCTAATTGAATTTTCTCCACAACTTTATCTCAGACGTCATTTTGATCAGAAGTGCCGTTTCAGTGCTACAGTCCATAACAAACAATTATGCAAAGTTTAATGCAAATTGGAGAAAGTCGAGTTTTTTCCGATTCGTCATTTGGCGCGAGGGAGGTGACTCTATCTTCTATGCAGGAAAAATGGTGTTTTGCTGTAGTTAGCTGCGCGCACGCTGACTAGATAGAAAGAATATTGATGATGATTCTGAAGATTTCCTGAAAAAGGAGATGCGCGATGCAAGTAGATCCGAGAAATGAAAGAAGATTTTGCGAAGATTGTTTCGCTAGCGTGAGATTTGTTGAGCATCTAGAATTGAGATTTAGATGCGTCGCCCCCCTCTATTTGGCGTGGAACTGCTGCAGTTATTGGGGAATTTGGCAATTTTGCCAAAAACTTCAACAGCTTGAATTTTTTAAATTTGTCTAAGATAAATTTTCGACAAGTCCGAAGCGCTAAAAGTCAGGATCTTTATTTTTCTCGGCCCGATATGTTCAAAGACTGAGCTAAGGTCATTTAAGCTCTCCTAAGTCCGAAATATCAATTATTTTTCTAGAATTAATAAAAAATCAGGATAAGATATCTTAAACGATTCCAAGTCGTTCCCAAATATCCTTCCCAGCGTGGGATTAGTATTGTCTAATTCCAGGATATTTATTTTATATCCGGAATCCACCAAAGTTTACAAGTGCAATATCCTTCTGTCATAATACCGAACCTGTAAAATGCGCGTCAATGCTGTGACGCAGCACAATTGGCTCGTTGCCAAGAAGCGAGCTTGTGCACAACAGCACAACCTTTTGCAGGTTCGGTATTATGGCTGTTAATAAGAATTCCAGGACTGTGGAGTCGGAGTTGAGGCCTCTCTTAGCTCAGTAGGGAAGGTCGCAGCTAGGAAGCAAAACCATGCTGGAGGTGGCTGGGTTCGATTCCCGGTCTGGTCTAGAAATTTCTCAGCTTTGAAAAATTCTCGACTTCCGTGGGCATAATAGAGTATGATTGTACTTGTCACACAATTAGGGGGAGGAGGGGCATAGTGAACAGGTGGGGCATGGTGAGCATCCCGCAGTTTGGCCCTGGATCTATAGCTGCATGAAATAAATAAACTGGTAGTAGGTTCAATATCATTATATGATATTGATCGTACCACCAACCAATTTGTTCCAAACGGCCGGAAGTCCAAGCTGTGCACGGGATGCTCACTACCCGAGCAAAGTCCAGCATCAAAATGACAGCAAATTGAAATCAAGTTTTGATATCAACATCAAACTGAAATCCTAATTTGATTTCAGTTTATGCAATTGATAAATTTCGTTTTCATTTTGCTGTACATTTGCTCTACAAAAATATGTTGTTGCGGGTTTGTTTTCATTGCCTTAGCATAACATCAAATTTATTACTTGTTTTGTTATCAACTGAAAAAATTGATATCAAATTGAGTTTTCAGTTTGCTCTCACTGATAGCAGAAATAGTTTTCAATGTGATCTCACAGGAAGATTTTTTTGCTCTCAATCTTGATATTTTAACCGTTAAAACGACCAAAACGACAGCAACCTGAGTAATCATTATCAGCGAAATCATAACATCAAATTTAGATTTCAATTTGATCCCAGACTTTGCTCGGGTATGCCCCACCTGTTCACTATAACCCTCTTACCCCTATTCTAATAAAAAAATGGTACAGGCATCGAAAACTCTCAATTAATAACTGTGAAAGTGCAGCTGGAACACTAAATTGAGAATACGCAATATGATAATATGCAATAAGCAATAAGCTTGGAATGCGACGAAGAAGAAGATGTAATTGGAGTCGGAGTCGGACGCATTTTTTAGCATAAGGAGTCGGAGTCGAAGTCGATGAAAAAGTACCGACTCCGACTCCCCAATGTTAAACTAGAGCGTCCCAAAATTTGGTCCACGTCCTATCATGAAAACTAACATGAACCGTAGCTAGGTTGACTGATAATTTCAATCTAACAAATCTCTTAATTACGACTTAATGGTTTCGAAGTGTGTATTTTATTATTTTTTTTAAAGTTTAAAATGATGCAGAACTATAACTATTTTACGTTAAACGGCTCGAAGAACAAAAGGTTGAAGGACACAAGATTGAATGATAAAAGGCCAAAATCGACAAAATTCCGAAAAGGATAAATGGTCAAAATGGACAAAAGGTCGAATGGACAAAAGGTAGAATAAATCGGTAACTAACTCTCTAATATTTTTCCTTCTTGAAATCATGAGCTGTTCTTTGAACCGTTCGACCTTTTGTCCCTCTAAGTTCAATTCATCCTTGTATCCAATCGATCTTATATGCCTTCGACATTTTGTCCTTCTAAGTTCAATTCGGTCTTTTGTCCATTCGACCGTTTGTCCCTCTATGCTCAATTCAACCTTTTGTCCCTCTAAGTTCGATTCGACATAATGAGAGAGAGAAGGAGTAGTAATTTCCATTTAATTCCACTGCCTTATTTGCTTATCCTTGACAGATACGCGTATTTCGTCTACAATGTGCAGACTTCTTCAGTGTCTTGTACTAATACCCGACTTACTAATCATACTAATCCTTCTCTCTCTTATTTTACAGGTATACCACTAAGACGCCCACATTCATCAGAATTCGATTCGACGTTTTGTCCCTCTATGTTCAATTGGATCTTTTGTCTTTCTCTGATCAATTCGACCTTTTGTCCCTCTATGTTCAATTCGACCTGTTGTCCCTCTATGTTCAATTAGACGTTTTTTTTCCTTCGATCTTTTGTCCCTCTATGTTCAATTTGACCTTTTGTCCCTCTGTGTTCAATATGACCTTTTTCCATTGGACATGTTGTCTCTTCGATCTTTTGTCCGTCTATGTTCCATTCGACTTTTTTCACCTCTATGTTCAATTAGATCTTTTGCCCATTCGACCTTTTTTTCCTTCGATCTTTTGTCTCTCTATGTTCAATTAGACCTTTTGTGGATCCGACCTTTTGTCCCTTCGATCTTTTGTTTCTCTATGTTCAAATCGACCTTTTGTCGCTCTATGTTCAATTCGATCTTTTGTCCATTCGACCTTTTGTCCATTCGGTCTTTTGTCCCTCTACGTTCAATTCAACCTTTTGTTCATTCGACCTTTTCTCCCTTCGAATTTTTGTCCATTCGAACTTTTGTCCTTGGACCTTTTGTTTTTCGAACTTTTGTTATAGATTCCGTTATACACGGCAAAAAAGAATAACAGATAGTTGGTCTGTTCCCGTAATTGCTGTTTTGCATTTGCTGTAGGTTGAAAGTTATGATCGATTTCGTAAAAAGTTGTAGTCAGTTCAAATGTTATAAATCATGTATGACATTATGCCATTTTAATTCTAAGGTGTGTGATTTCTTTTGCAAAAGTTTTTAACCGAGTTTGTTTTCCGTACTGAGTACCAATACTACCGATGCCGGGGAGGCAGCTCCCACACCTAGACTCTACCTATCGATCCATCATGACCTGGACCAACGGCTTTGCTACTCTTCCGAAGGAAGGCGTAAACAGAGATTTTATGCCTCAGTCAGAAAATCCCGGCGACGCCGACTGGGATTAAACCCAGGCCTTTTGTGGTGAAAGGCGTTCATGCTTTCCACTACACCACCAGCGCCGACAAGTTAAAGCTTGAGCTCAATTTATTACAAAAATCAATATCGCTTGAAGTTGTGAAGGTTTTTGTCAGGATTTTCCCAATTTAAATCATAAATTGTAATATATGGCTACTATCGTTTGGAAATAAGAACATTTTGTTAAAAGTTGAGCAGCAATGTTGAAAGCAGTTTTAGTGTCTACAAAATACGTAGGGTTATCGACCGGACCATTTCTTTATTTGAATTTATTTGTTTCAATTTAATTTCATACTGGAGAAATATTTGAATAAGTGATGTCATTAGAGAATCTCTTTGAAAATATCTGAAATAACTTAAAATAATTAATCAATAAGTTTCCAAATATTTTAAATTTCTTGAATTTTTAAAGATCTGAAAATCATTGAAGTAAATTTGTATTTCATTTCGGAGTCGGAGTCGAGGAGTTGGAATCTGAGTCAGTTATTATCAAATAAGAGAACTCGGTCGGTCGGAGCGTCGGTCGATTTAGATCCGACTCCACATCCCTGTCATTTTTAGAAAGTTCGATAGGTTAACCCGTAAGAGTTGATAAATGTTCTGAATTAATCAGTGAAATTATTTTAAATCTGAGATTGTTACAAACTCAATAAAATTTTTAAAACAAAGGCTACCCCTAACCTACAAAAGAGAGGCAGCCAATTAAATAAAAATATCATTAAACTATATAAAACCGTAGGTAGGTATATCTTAAAAACGCTCTATGTGAATGTCCTTTGGCAGTTAAATGATAAATCTGTTACACCAGACCCAATTCAATAGATTTCTCATTCATCTAAATGTCTACAGGTTAACGCAATCGTTCAAAAGCAACTCCTCCAAACGTTTTCACTCTCAAAAGTCGCGTGTCTCGAATGAAATGAGCTGCGACTAAATGATGACAAATTAGAGATAATTTATTATGTTATTCCAATGACTCCTTAGGATTTCCACGGAAAACAGACCAATCCCTTAAATGCGTTTGCAAAGTCGAGAAAATCTCTAGCCTCACGTCGACGATATCCAATTACCATTTTTTTTCTGTTTGGTCCACGTCCACTTGAGCCAACCTTTCTTTCCCTCCATTTGTTTTCTTTTCCACGGCACTTCAACTATAGACAGAAGATGATCTTTCCTTTCGCTTTCCTATCCTTGGATGCATCATTGTTGGTTGTGGGATCGAATTTCGACAAATTTGTGGTTGATCGTTTCTCACTTTCACGAACGGGGAAAAGTGCTTGCCATAAATTTCGGATGTTAAACCTTCGACCTTCCTTACTTGTCACCGGCGAGCGAGAACAAAAATGCAATAAATTTTTATGGACTGTACCGGGAACCGTAATAGTAGCGCAAGGATTAAGAAGTAGCTGTAAAATTGTTTCACAAGCAATTTTAATTTATTTATAAATGCCCAATATCCGTTTGCCTTTCGGATCGAATGGGCTTCTGAGATGGCACTGGGCATCGTAGAGTTTACCCATGATTTCTATCTGGTACTGGCCACTCTTGATGTATTCGTTGGTCACAAAGTCTCCATCCTTGCGAGTGACGTACGCTAGTCCAATGGGTTTCTGCAGAGTGTAGCCATATTCGCCTCGCCGCAGATGGCCTACAATCTCTCCGTTTCGGTATACAGCTTCCAATCCCCAAATCGGAACCTTAGTAGAATGTAATTTCAATTAGACGATCTTTCAAATCTCCACTCGAATGTATTAGGTACCTGTTCGTTGAGAGTGAAGAAGGCCAACTTCCTGTTCACACCATGTTCCAGTTGTCTCTCGATAGCGGCTCGTCCTTGGTAATCGCCACGCTTCCTACAGGTGAATCCGAGATTCGCTTCGACCGGTGTGTCATCCGATCGCAAATCGTATCCCCACAGATGGTAGCCCTTTTCGCTGCTCAACGAGTACAGCGCACGATAACCGGCGTTCCGGAGTCCTTCCTTATACCCGGCCTTCATCAGTACATTGTACACATCGTTGCAGCTCTCCTCCGGGATGTGCAACTCGTATCCCAACTCTCCGACGAAGCTCACTCGCAGAACTCGCACGTTGCACTTATAGAAAGGGTTGATTTGGATGCTCAAAATGGCAGTGGAATTCGGTGGAAGGAGCTCTTCATCGTTGAGATCGAAATCGGTGATCTTTTGAAGGATCTCTCGGCTCTTTGGTCCTTGGATGGACAATACGCCCAATTCTTCGGTATGATCGGTAACTACCGCACGTAGGGCCTTCTCCTGGATTGTGGACCAGATGTGCGACTTGGTATGATAGGCAGATGCTCCACCAGCTACAATATAGTAGCCACGTCCCTGTGGATGTATACGATGTTAAATCTTCGTTGTACAACTTGATTCCCCACGAAATACGTTACCTTAAAGATAGGATCGTGCAGTTCACCTTGGCCAGATTCGACAACGCTAACAGTGACATCAGCTTCAACGCCACCACGTTTGTTTAAGGCGCAAGTGTAGACAGTCCTGAAAAATCAATCATTGGTTACTGTATCCGTTGATTGGGATCATCACTACTTACTTATTGACGGGCTTATTCAAATCCCCAGTAAAGATCCACTCAGCGGCTTCCTTGGCCTGACTGCCGGTAAGGAACAGCTTGCTGAAATAACTCAGGTTGAAAACGGCTGCCTCCTGCCGACAAGTCAACGCTTCTTCTCCAATCTGTGATGGAACGGTAAACGGGTTATCGCGTTAAGCTAAGGTCTACACAAATGTCCACAAACCAAATCATGATGTTCCGGGAAACCAAAAGAGTAGTCCTTCTTCAACGCTTCCTCATAGTTGGTATTTGTGTTCTTAGGATAATCGTAGAATCCATACCAGTCGTACGGTTGAACGACTACAGTATCCTCAGGTAGGAAGTATCCCGGTCGTTCCCAACCATGTCGTTCCTCCATCACGGCTCCATGTTGGATCATTTGCTGTAAAGCAGACCTTATGTGTTAATCACACCCAATCTTTAGAACAATGAGGACCTTACCTTGTGGAACGGATCCACGGTAAAGTTTCTGCCAGCGAGCGGTTCGTCATGGGGAAACACAATACTGTAGTTCTTGGCATACGCTTCATGACTTCTCTCGGTGGCCCAGTTCAGCGCTTTCTTCTGCTTCGGGGTGAACCGTCGAACGTCGTACGCAAACATGTGCAGGTCCGGTCTGTCGTGAATGATCCATTGGGCCAGTTGCTCGGCACATCCGCCACCCAGCATCATGCCAGCCGAATTGAAACCACAGTTGTGGAACAGCCCATTGATCAAGGGGTCCGGGCCCATCAATGGTTTATGATCGGGTGTAAACGATTCCGGACCACATATCGTACTCTTAATACCCGCCGTGCCAAATTCTGGGCAAAGCTTTACCGCACCCTGAATGTGGGTATCAAACACCGAGTAATCCAAATCATACAATCCGAAATGGAAATCTTCCGGAATTCGGTTGAGCAAAACCGGGTTATTCTCGTAACCTCCCATGCAGATGGACTTTCCTTGGATGCGGAAATATATCGAGTAGTCATGGTCTCGGACATTCGGAAGCATTTGGTGAATGCCGTCCATCGTTTCCGAAACGACGTAAGCATGCTTCATAGGAATTAGTGGTAGATGGATACCTAATGGTTCGATAAGATCTCTTCCCCATACGCCAGTTGCGTTCACAACCGTGTTGGTCCGGATCGTTCCCTTGTTAGTGACCACACCTCTAACATCTTTAACTCCCAGTAGATTCTCTCCTGTGACGATCTTACTAGCCGAGCAATCCTCCACTACAGTTCCTCCATTCGCTGAAGCAGCTTTCGTCAGAGCTGTACACATCATCGCAGGATCGACAACTCCGTCTCCCGGAGAATACAGAGCCCCGGTGAAGGACTCCGGATCAAGCAATGGGAATACCTGCTGAGCTTCATGCGGTGTTAGAATTTGGCTTTCAATCCCAAAACACTTTCCAAGTGTGGCCAATCGCTTATATTCATCCAGACGTTCGTCGGAGTGAGAGATGAACAGCCCACCGTTGTTGATCCATCCCGAATTGTACCCGGTTTCTTCCTCCAAGCTCATCAGCAGGTTACGAGTAGCTGCCAGCAGTTTGATCTCCACATCGTTGGGCCGCAAGCGCCACACCAGCCCCGCCGTATGCCATGTGGTTCCCGCAGTTAGCTTTGCCTTTTCCAGCAAAACAGCTCGGATGCCTCGCTTCGTTAGCTGATACAGCGTATTGCATCCAGCTGATCCACCTCCTGTTCAACGGTAAGAATTGTGAAGAAAACAAAAAGCAGTGATGAGAAAACACAGCAATGATTTCAATGTTTGAAAACAGTGTAATTGGGAGTTGTTTGCAAACAACTAGTCGGATCGTAGCCTGCATGAGATAATCGAAGAGAGGTTCGCTTGATAAGGGATGTGACCTTTCGTGGCAGGGTGCTGCTAGCACTAACGATAGATAATCCGGTTGAGTTAGCGAACTAACGTCAATCCGCGTTCTACAACATGGACGTTGAAACTTCGCCAAGGTTATCGAAATTGAAACCGCTAACTAATAATTTTGCTACGGGCATACGGTTTGCTAATCAGGGTTTTGTATTATTATTGTATTATTATTATTATTGATTTTTTTATTCGCTACGTAATTGAAATACAATCTTATTGAAACTGAAATCTAAAGCAGGATGACGAACTTGCAACCCTATTGGATGTTAAGGATTGAACGGAAGCTTAAATAACTCAACAATTTTCACACATTTGTTATTGACTTTTGCTTTTAAGTCTCCTGTGAAATTAAATTACACATATTATTCATGCTCATGTTCATTCACATGAACATTTGGGTGATTAATTTTGAAAAATGTGTTAGATTTCTTAAAGGCCACCCTCCAGGTTGATTCATAACCCTAAAACTATGAGTATGTGCAAAAATAGTGACGATTTATGAAGGTTTATAGGTCACGGCAATGTTTTGAAGTTTACCTATAGATTTTGGCGAATTACGACGGGAAATTATTGAATTTCACTTACATCGCTCTAATTTTAGTCGAAGACAACATATCAAGAAGACTGGCAACTCTTCAATTTTCTCGTACAACCGCTATGAGGCAGGTACAATTGCGTCATCTGCCTCTCAAAGGTAAATGCTTCGAACGAATTTGATAGCAAAGATTATATCCTCAGAAGAAAGGTTTGTGTATTTGCTCATTTTCAAAGACATCATATCAAGAAGACTGGCAACTTTGCCAGAATCCAAGCGACAGATACAGTAGCGCCAACAATCAATTCGAAACTGACGATTTTAAATTGGCTCACTACTTGACTAGCCTATTGGTCCCAAGCAAACGATTAACGTGCCCCATTCTAGTCAAAATTCTAGTACTACGCAATGTTTGTTTTGATTCGCTATGAAAGTTTGACAGATAAAATGAGGGGTTATTGGTTTTTCCTATGTTTCGAGGGGTGAATCGATTAGCTTGGGACCGAAGAGAGTACCAGAGCTGAGCCAAAAAGTTGCGCACGTTATTTCGGGACCTTCTAGTCTTAGAGTTACCTCTATGGTAGCGCTGCGCTTGAGCGAAGGTGGAAGCAACGCAAACCTTTCTTCTGAGGATGTAATCTTTGCTATCAAATTCGTTCGAAACATTTACCTTTGAGCGGCAGATGACGCGATTGTATCTGCCTCATAGCGGTCGGACGAGAAAATTGAATTATAAATTTTTCCATGGTAATGAATATTTTTTTTTTCAAAATTTCACTGAATCAAGTTAAGATTGTATAGAATCACAGTACACTCAAAACATTCCACATGTCTGATCGAAGTACACGTTAGTTTCTATTGTAAACTTTGAAATGAAAATCTTTCACTATCTATTCAAGTAGGGGAAATGCAGGTAATGTCGGCCCATACATAAATTCAACAATCAACTAAATTTTCAATAGCAACCAAAAATATACATTAGTAACGTCCCAATAACGCGTTCATCTAGATAAAATTGATAAATAGCAGACTTTTAGCGATGGGCCCAAATTAGGGACATGTAGGCCGACATTACCTACATTTCCCCTATATTGCACATTGAATCACACTACTGTTCAAAACAGATGGATGTAAAGTGTTTTGCATTTCAATGCGATGTGATGAAAACATGACTTGTGACTTCATATTTATCAACCAGCCTCATATTTGAGAACAAACGTGTAACAGTGAGATCGAACAAAGACAACAGCAGCAGCACAGCCCAACAGTCAAGGATCAAATCCCAAATCAGACCCATTAAAAAGGCATGTGTAAGCTCTGCCCTCTTGGAGCTTTGTTTATATATTTGTCGATTCAATTTTAGAGTTGGTAAATTAGAAGTCGATAAAGTAGAATATTGTAGAACATTGACCTATGCTGTGCAAAGTTATTGATATCACCATGTGAGGCACATAGAATCCATGTGCGTAACAATTCAAATCAATAGTGTTCAGGCCATGGACCCAAAGGTCAGGACCAATAGCGTGCAAGGAATTTATCGAAAAATCATGGTTCTCGGTTATAGAATGGAAGTGCACGCAGTAGTAGGTTTTTTAGATTTGTGGGTAGTTATATTTTTGAGTGCATGGGGGAATGCTGTCAACAATGCTGTCGGTTTGTTTACCAACAATAGCTGACGTTTTGTTTTAACCTAACTTTTTTCCTAACCTGAACTTCAGAGCTAGGATTAATGTCATTGTTGATGTTGATCAAAATGGAATCAGTTTTATCACTTAATTTTTGGGGGTCCAACTAGAAATCATGCAAGGCGGACCCAGGTACGATCCTTGTGTAGCGAGGACCGAATGGACCAGATCCCGCCAGTCAGATGATTGTCCGCGGGAAGATTGTTCAAAGGATGATTGTCCACATGAGGATTGTTTGAAGGAGAATTGTCTGCTACCGAAGAGTCAAGGAGTACGTGGAGGAAGAAGATTATCCGGAACTCTGAAGCTCTTTATATGTTCCAGGGGGAACGATACATTCGGATGCATCCTGTATCCCCATCAAATTTATCCATAAAATTCTGCTTTTATATCCAAAACATCAGACATCACCTGGAACTATCTTCCTGCGGACAATCGTCCAGTGGACAATCTTCCTCTGATCAATCTTCCTGCGGACCAGTGTTGGAAAAGTTCGCGATATTTCACGAAGTTCACCAAGGGAAAAGTTCGCGAGTCATAGGGAACTTTGATGAACTTTTCCATCACTGCTGTGGACAATTCTCTTCCTCCAAATAATCTTCGTGCGGACAATCCTCTTTCGAACAATCCTTCTGCGGACAACCCTCTTTCGAACAATCTTCCTGTGGACAATCCTCCTACGGACAATCCTCTTCCGAACTATCTTCCTGCGCACAATCGTCCTGTGGAGAATCTTATTCTGAACAATCTTCCTGCGGACAATCCTCCTTCGAACAATCCTCCTGCGGACAATCCTCCTCCAAACAATCTTCCTGTGGACAATTCTCCTGCGGACAATCCTTCTTCGAACAATCCTCTTTCGAACAATCCTCCCGCGGACAATCCTCTTCCTCCGGATAATCTTTCTCCTCGACTCGTCGGTAGCGGACAATATTCCTGCGGACAATCCTGCTGATAATCCTCCTTCGAACAATCCTCCTCAGAACAATCTTCCTGCGGACAATTCTCCTTCGTACAATCTTCTCCCGAACAATCTTCTTGCGGACAATCCTCCTCCGAACAATCCTTCGAACAACCTTCTCCCGAGCAAACTTCCTGTGGACAATCCTCCTTTGAACAATCTTCCTGCGGACAATCCTTATTCGAACAATCTTCCTGGGTACAATCGTTCTTCGAACAATCCTCCTGCGGACAATCCTCCTGGGGACAATCCAAATTGGCGATGACGGCACCGTCGAAAAATTTGCTCTTCCAGCAAATATAGACAGTTTCATATGGGAATTTTCAGTGGAGTGAAAGGATAGTACAAAGTCCACCATGTTTCACGCACAGTCTGACGTTTGCTTATGGATTTTCTCATAGGAGTAAAGAGCTACAGAGTCGCCGTCAACGCCAATATATGATGTTCAAGGGCCCTGGAGCTTATGAACTATGGCGCTTTTGCTGGCAGTTGTGCTGTCTGTGTCACTTTTGACACCTGTTCTGGTACAAATTGCTGTCTTTTGCTCTAGTACCGGGTGCATCAGGTACACTAAAAAAAAACAGCTAGGTGAACCAAAAAAAAATCGTTTTGTTGTGTTTCACCAGTTGACAAATCAGTGCTAACATTTGAAAACGGCACAAAAGCCATTTGTAAACAAATGGTTTGTGGGCCCTTTACTCACTACTTGAAGTACACCCACGCGACACAACAGCAACATCGGGTAGGGGAAATTTTCCCCTTCCTGACGATGCTGTTGGTTTGCGTGGGCGTTCTTCGGGTAGCGAGTAAAGGGCCCACAAACCATTTGTTTACAAATGGCTTTTGCGCCGTTTTCAAATGTTAGCACTGAAATGGACTACATTGACATGAATCCGATCGACTTTGTTCATTTGTCAACTTGTAACTCCCAACATAGTTTATCCATTTTTGGGTAGGTTCAGTTTTGACCAATCTGGGTGGATTCTACCCAAATTTGGTTAGTTTTGAAATAGCGTGTGGGCTGAAAAGCGAAACTTTCGTTACTTCTGGGATCATGAACCAGCAAATTTACCAAGAGGAGTACCTACGGAAGAGACTAAACTGCCTTTTCTGGAGCAGCTTGAGGTGGATTGCCTATTCTAGCCGGAATTGGTAAGCTCCCAACAAACATTGAATGTTGAATAAGAGCTTATTCAGGGATAAAACAAGCTTCTACAGCTAAAAAATAGCTTTTTCAGCTGTTGATCAACTCAAATTTTTTGTTGGGCTACCACTACTTAAATTCCAGCAGACAGTGGTAAGCGAACATGGCGTCACAGTGCATCCCAAGGAGATGAATTCGGTCAATATTCCGAAACTAACGCCAATTGAGAAATACTGGTCAATCGCGAGGGAGGCGACTCTATCTACGATGCAGAAAAGATTGTGTTTTGCTGTGGCTATCGTAAGCACGCTGAGCAGATAGAAGGAAGATTTAAGTCGATTTTGAAGATTTCCTGCAAAAAGATGAAGCACGATGCAAGTAGATGCGAGAAATGAAAGATGATTTTTCGAAGATTGATTCGCTAGTGTGAGATTTTTTGAGCATCTAGAATTGAGATTTAGATGTGTTGCCCCCCTCTGTCAATCGTGAAGCACAGGTCTGTCATATGATCACTCAATGCGCGCAATGTACTGATTTTCTGAAGTAAACAAAGTGAGAATCAAGCAAACACAAAGTTTGCTTTTATTTCACCCTGCGTAAGTTTAAAGCAGCGGAGGAGAGAAGACAAACACACACCCAGAAATAACGATGTGCTCAATGTGTAGCCATCGCTCCGACGGACGGCTCCGTCGCAAAGAGTGACACTCAGTGTAGGGTTGCAAATGGGAAACCTAGCAAAATGGAAATATTCTTCTTCGTTATGCACTTCTTCATCCTCTATGCATGCAGTCGTGGTAAGCATAGTCTGCAAAGAACTCGAAGAAGACATTAGCGCTGCTTGTACAGTCAACTTTCCCTCATTGGGCTAAACCTGTAGCCCACTTAGTGAAAGATTTTCGTTAGTTGGGCTGAGCTGTCAAGCTGAAAATTGGTTGAGGGATACATCGATTGTTTATTATCATCACAAATTGTGATTCACAATCCTTTAGCAACTATCCAAATTGTTCATACATGAGCCCCTCGGAAAATAATTAGCACTGTAAAAAATGACGTTTGGCTTTGATTTAGGTGGGCTACAGCCCAACTAACGGGAGTTTAACTAAAACGTAGCCCACCTAAACATAGCGAAACGAGCGAATTTTGACTGTATTATTCGCTGGTTGGGCTTTTAATACTTGGGCTGCTTTTTAGTTGGGCCTGCGTTGGTTGGGCCATGACCCAATTAAAAAGCATCTGGATGTCAAAATCTCATGTCAAATTGGATTTGACAATCGATCATAAATTCTTCCAGGGGGTAAGCATATGCGGTTAGGACTGCGAATCATATGTAATGAATGTTAACAAATGGTATTTGCTTGAAACATTTGAGTTTCATTTAAAATTCTAGAAGAATACAAAAAACAAAAATTGTGTACTTATTGATTTGCTTTTTCCACTCTGCTTCAAGCAACTTGCTTCAATCCGCTTTTTGTGAAATCTTTTCAACAAAGGATGCGCACACCCCTCAACAAATTTTAGCCTTCTGTCAGTTGGCCCAACTAGCGAATCAAATTCGTAAGTTGGGCCGAGCGACCAGCGAATTTCGACTGTATTCGCTCCCTGCGCCGCACAGAGTGTACCGTTTATTGTGTGGATCGCTTTCTCAAAGTTTAGCTGGAAAAGAGTGTGAGAAGCAAATGGGAGAACCACACACTCTTTGTCGAGTGTTGTGAGATTCATGCACAAAGTTGCTTTGCAAACGCTCTGAGGCGCTTTCCAGCCCTGCATGTATTGTTATATTAACGAAAAATACTGCGATTCAAAAAAGCAGAACTGTAGCTTGACCTCTGGATGATTGAATTTCAGGATGGGTCTGATATGCGATTACTTTGCTTGATGGGACAAACTGACTTGATGTTGTTTTCACATTGTTCATGATCAAAGTCCGTAGGTTTATCACATAATATGAAAGTAGATGCCAATTGATAGTGGATAGCGTTATTGTCTTAAAATTGACGAAAATCCACATAGGACTGAAATGCGATTATAGGCAGTACAGTCATAACTGGTACATCTACCATATTGATTAGATATCACTGGTTGATCTTGCATCATGGGACACCGGAACACACCAAGAGGATGTTTCCTTGTGTTCTAAATAAGGCTACGTGCAGTAAAGCATGGTTGGACCACATTTAAAACCTAGACTCTTCACTGTGGGGAACTTAGGCCCACCTTATCAATACTAACCGATAATCACTACGTCCGCACTTTCCGGCAGACTAGATCCCGAAGACAAACTACGCTTGGGTAGTTCACTGCTAATCCTTCCTATCAACGATCCTCGGGTGGTAACCTGTTCTTTGAACTTTGCAAAACTACGTTTGCTAAACCGAAACATGGTTGCTACTTATGTTAACTAATTTGTACTTAAAAATTGCCACTCAAATTCAAACTTCCAAAGCACGACCGATCTTCGCAAAATTCAATCTTAAACTGATCCCACCTCGCCTCGCAGTTAGCCGATCCTCAACTATACATCGGTATAGGATTGGATGAGTTCTTATTAATCGTTTTGATAAGCCACGTTTCGTACCTCGTAGTGCTGTTTGCGAACCTCTTTTTTTTTACCGTAGCTGATAGGCCGGTCAGGACGCGTCCGAGGCGTTCATTGCTGTTCTCTTCGTCGTCGTTCGGATGAGGTGGAGGTTATCCGTTTTGGTGAACCTTTCTGCGCAAGGATGTGAAACTGAAACAATAATGGAGATAAGCCGCGTGTGGAGCGTCATGTGTGGATTCGTTGAACTCGGTAGAAGTTTATTTACGTGAATCATTCATCTATTTAGGTGTTTTGTTGATGCACATGGTCAAAATCTATGTAGGTTTAAATGGTACTAACCTACATTTTGAATGATTAAGCAATTTTTAATGAGCTTAAAATGCGAAGAAAAAGAAGAAGAACGATACTTTAGTTAATAAGCTACCGAACGAAGTCAATAAGAACGTGTGATATGATATGGTTTGAACCCATTATTCCCAAAAACAAAAGAAGCGCTCCGAACGAATCAATTTTTATCTTCATCCGATAGGCCGAAGTGATTTATTGGCCTTTCAATGGCATTTCAATGCGTTAGGCCGAGTTTAGAATCCGTAGGCCGAGTTTGGCATCAAGAAGCAGAGTTAGACTTTTGACAATATCTCAGCGATTGGATTCTCTTTATCATATCTAACGGTACGTACGGAAAGGTAAATAAATTTGGAAGTCATCAGTAATAATAACATTTCGTTTGGCGCTAAACTGCTATGTTTGAAGGCACTTTTTTTACAACATTCATGTACCTCATATTTTTCTTCACAGGATGTTAGCATTGATCCTAACAATCAAATCTGTGATGGTTTTAAAATATTTCATCTTGGGTTTTTAGAGAAAAAGTGTTTTGAAGTATACTTAGTCGTTTACAAAACCGTATACGAACTATTGATGATACAAAACTGTTACGGATCGAAACAAATTCGGCTGAAAATGATTCAAAATGGGACTAAAGTTGTCAAAATTCTGGTACAGTAAGATTCCCTCTTTGTTACCGTAAAATATCGTAGCTTTGATCTCATAATGTTAAATTAATCAAATAATTAAACAATGGTTTAGTCTCTAAATTTACTATTATTCAGCCATTCCATTGCAAAACGATATAGTGGTTCTCAGATTTTTGTTTTATTTTGTGTCATCAGGGTGACCATTTCATCGTTAGAGTAGTCCAAAAAATCGTTTTTTTTTAATATTTTTAAATGCTTTTTTTTTTTTATTTATAACTTTTGAGCCACTGGGCTGATTTCAAAGATCAAAATATTAAATGAAAGGTAATTAAAATAATACTATTAAAAACTGGGATTTTATTTTGAAAAACATTTATTGTACTCGTTTATTATAGTTTTCATGGTTTGTAGAATGAGGGCTCAATGTATTTTTTTATATATTTTTCCTTTAAAAATTAGGCTCTTTTACACAACATATCAAAAAATCAGCGGTGTGTTTTTCGTAAGCTGATGTTAAAAATTTCATGCTTGAAAAACTGCACGTTTATCAGGCAATGGCGTTTACCAAGCACCTACAATGGTGACCAGCGAATCCAAATTGCGTATGCCGAGTCGGCAGCCATGCAATTGCGTTGTCTTTCCTTATAGCTGATTTGAGGCCGGGCTTGATTGTTTGACAACTGGTATGTCTCATACGTTTGGCCTATTTTTAGCGTCTGTAATATAACAAAAGTATAGTGTAAAGTTATGAAAAATATAAATTTATAAAGATAACTGTTACACACTGACCCTACTAGCACTCAAATTAAGATCTTTCTTAAAGCTGAGTAAATCTTCGTGAGAAATCTTAGAATTTTTTTTCCTACTGTTTCAAATTTAAACCCAATGGTCTTCCTGCGATGTTTACAAAAACAAACTTGGCTTGTATTTTTTTTTTTTTTTTTTTTAACTCTTTATTTGTTCCAAATTCAAAATAAATTACATTTCATTTTTAACCTAGGTGCTCCAGTTACTACAGTAACTTACCAGCCTTAATTGTTATGATATATATCTAAGTGTTTTTACATTGTTCCTGTCTTGGCAATTCAGTATTTTAAACAGGTTTTTTTAAACCTGCATGTCAGTATAACAATTGATAGCTTAAAACTAAATAACTAAAACTAAATCTTATCTAAGTATAAAGGGAATTAATCGTTGCAATTGAGGATTGTAACGATTTTTGCCGGAAATTATTAATTATTTTGTTGGACATTTGTGCTAAAGTCTCAACATTCGAAATTCTATGTACTTCGGTAGTACTGTACCAGGGAGGCAACTTCAAAATCATCTTCAGAATTTTGTTCTGAATCCTTTGAAGTGCTTTTTTCCTGGTAGTGCAACAACTAGACCATATTGGCACAGCGTAAAGCATGGCCGGTCTAAAAACTTGTTTAAATATTAGAAGTTTATTCGTCAGGCAAAGTTTGGATTTCCTGTTTATAAGAGGATACAAACATTTTATATATTTGTTACATTTGGCTTGAATGCCCTCAATGTGGTCTTTAAAAGTTAATTTATGGTCAAGTATTAATCCAAGATATTTCACTTGGTTTGACCAGGAAATTGGAACTCCGTTCATAGTGACTATGTGACTACTACTAGGTTTCAAAAAGGAAGCCCTGGGCTTATGTGGAAATATTATAAGTTGAGTTTTGGAAGCGTTGGGAGAAATCTTCCATTTTTGTAAATAAGAAGAGAAAATATCTAAACTTTTCTGAAGTCTGCTGCAAATAACACGAAGACTTCTTCCTTTAGCGGAAATGCCTGTGTCATCAGCGAACAAAGATTTGTGGCAACCCTGAGGCAAATCAGGGAGGTCCGAAGTGAAAATGTTATACAATATAGGCCCAAGAATGCTACCCTGAGGAACTCCTGCTCTAACAGGTAGTCGATTAGATTTGGAATTTTGATAATTTACCTGCAGAGTTCTGTCAGTTAAATAATTTTGAACTAATTTCATAATGTAAAGTGGAAAATTAAACTTTTTCAATTTAGCAATCAAACCTTCATGCCAAACACTGTCGAATGCTTTTTCTATGTCTAGAAGAGCAACTCCAGTTGAGTGGCCTTCAGATTTGTTTGAACGAATTAAATTGGTAACTCTTAAGAGTTGATGAGTAGTTGAATGCCCATGGCGAAATCCAAACTGCTCATCTGCAAAAATTGAGTTCGTATTGATGTGAAGCATCATTCTATTCAAAATTATTTTTTCAAAAAGTTTACTTATTGAAGAAAGCAAACTTATTGGACGGTAGCTAGAAGCTTCAGCTGGATTTTTATCCGGCTTCAAAATTGGAACAACTTTTGCATTTTTCCATTTATCAGGAAAGTATGCCAAATGGAAACATCTGTTAAATAATTTTACCAGGAAAGACAAGGTACTCTCTGGGAGTTTTTTGATGAGGATATAGAAAATTCCATCATCACCTGGAGCTTTCATATTTTGAAACTTTTTAGTTATAGACCTTACTTCGTCCAAATCAGTCCCCCAGGAATCATCAAAAATATTTTCCCGAGAGAAAATATTCCGAAAATCCCGAGCAACCTGATTCTCAATAGGACTAGTAAGACCCAAACTGAAATTATGGGAACTCTCGAATTGCTTAGCAAGTTTCTGAGCTTTTTCCAAATTTGTGATCAAAATTTTACCACCTTCTTTAAGCGCTGGAATTGGCTTTTGAGGTTTTTTCAAAATTTTTGTGAGTTTCCAAAAGGGTTTGGAACTCGGGTCTAATTTAGAAACATTATTTTCAAAAGTTTTGTTCCTCAGGGCAGAGAATCGCTTTTTAATTTGTTTTTGCAAATCCCGCCAGATAACTTTCATGGCAGGATCGCGTGTTCTTTGAAATTGTCTCCTACGGACATTTTTAAGACGGATCAAGAGCTGAAGATCATCGTCTATTATAATTGAATCGAATTTAACCTCGCATTTTGGTACTGAGGCAGCTCTTGCTTCAACTATAGAAGTAGTCAGAGATTCAAGAGCATAATTAATTTCATCTTTGGTTTGCAAAGGAATGTTTGGATCGAAGTTATATTCCATAAATGTTCGATATTGCTCCCAATCAGCCCTATGGTAATTGAAAGTAAAGCTGTTGGGATTAGAAATTATTTCTTGGGATATTTCAAAAGTTACTGGAAGGTGATCAGAACCGAAGTCAGCATGGGTAACCAATTGGCTACAAAGATGACATGAATCAGTTAAGACCAAATCAATAGTTGAGGGATTTCTTGCAGAAGAAAAGCATGTTGGGCTGTTTGGATATTGAATAGTGTAATAACCTGCAGAACAATCATCAAACAGAATATTACCATTGGAATTGCTTTGAGCATTATTCCATGAGCGGTGTTTTGCATTAAAATCACCAATAATGAAGAATTTAGACCTATGACGGGTAAGTTTCTGGAGGTCACCCTTGAGAAAATTCTTTTGCTGGCCTACGCATTGGAATGGCAAATAGGCAGCTATAAACGTAAGTTGTCCAAATTTTGTTTCAACAGAAACTCCCAAAGTTTCAAAAACTTTGGTTTCAAATGAAGAAAGAATTTTATGCTTGATTCGTCTATGAATAATGATGGCAACGCCACCACAGGGTCCATCAAGACGATCATTTCTATAAATCAAGTAATTTACGTCCTTCTTAACCTTATGGTCAGGTTTAAGGAACGTTTCAGTTATAACGGCAATATGCACGTTATGAACTCTCAAAAAATTAAATAGCTCGTCTTCATTATCTTTAAGAGATCGAGCATTCCAATTTAAAATGTTTAATGCTTTAAAATCCATTACTGAATTTTAAAGTCATGACAATATTATTAGCAAATTTTACTCCAGTTTGAATAGCATCAAACATGGAGTTAGATTTAAACATATCAGAAATCATGTCAATTAATGA